TTCTGAAACAACAAAGAACAATTAATTACTAATATATTAAATATCCTTCATAAAGTTAAAATCACATACTGTTATTTTTTATATACATATAAGTCGTAGTAAAAATAAAAGATGCTAAATAGTCAATTATACGTACTCACCAGTGTGGAACTCCATTCCAGCCCAACGACGTAGGTGGACACTTCAACCATGGTAAAACCTTCAAAGAATATTGCTTCTCATTCATAAACCCATTTCCACTTATTCCTAATATGGTATACTACCAGAACCGAACAAGTCTGTAGGAATTTCTGAAACAACAAAGAACAATTAATTACTAATATATTAAATATCCTTCATAAAGTTAAAATCACATACTGTTATTTTTTATATACATATAAGTCGTAGTAAAAATAAAAGATGCTAAATAGTCAATTATACGTACTCACCAGTGTGGAACTCCATTCCAGCCCAACGACGTAGGTGGACACTTCAACCATGGTAAAACCTTCAAAGAATATTGCTTCTCATTCATAAACCCATTTCCACTTATTCCTAATATGGTATACTACCAGAACCGAACAAGTCTGTAGGAATTTCTGAAACAACAAAGAACAATTAATTACTAATAATACATTAAATAGCTTTTTCAAAGTTAAAATCACATACTGTTATTTTTTATATACATTTATTGGTCATATTAAAAATAAAGGAAGCTAAATAGTCCAAAATACGTACTCAACATGATGGAAAATTGTAGAAATTCATTCCAGCACAACAACGTAGGTAGATAGTCTAACCATGGCAAAACCTTAATAGATTTCGATGAATGTTGCTTGTCATTCATTTCCTGTCCTTCCCATATTGCCAGAATCGAACAAATCTGTAGCAATTTCTGAAATAACAAGGAACAATTAATAATAAAATATTAAATACCCTTTTCAAAATTAAAATCTCATACTGTTATTTTTGATATACATTTATTGGTCGTAGTAAAAATAAAGGATTCTAAATAGTCTATTATACGTACTCATCATGATGGAAATTGTAGAACTCAATTCCAGCTCAACTATGTACAGGTGGGTAAAACCTTCAAAGCTTTCGATGGAATTTGCTTCTCATTCATAAAGCCATTTCCTGCACTTCCTATATTATCAGAACCAAATAAATTTGTAGGAGTTTCTGAAATAACACCCTGTATTACTAACAGAACCAAATTGACCTTTGGAAATTTCTGAAACAAAGAACAATTGATACATAAAATAAAGTTTAAAAGAAAACAACTTATACATATAGTACACACGTACATTTACGAAAATCAAAATTTTTACCCTTATGATTAAACATAACCGTTCAATTTCCCCTTAATTTTCAAAACAACATTTCTCATATTGTTAAAATAGCTCGCAAAAATTTAAATTACCGCTATAATATTAACAACCGTCGCTTTATGACGCCGTAGTTGGTCTATTATTTAAATCAATCTAAAATATCTTTTACCAGTTGGAAGGACCATAGTTTGATCTGCACGGAATGCTCTGGTTTACATTCATTGTAAAGTCAATTGGTATAGAAAAGTCTTTGACGTATAGAAAATACCCGTGAAAATTTAACTTTAAATTCTTATTGTAGAAGCTAGACTAGCTAGACTATCATAGGTAAAGTTTAATTTAAAATCAATTTTGTAATCAAGACCAGAACGCCTTGGTTAAATTTGATGCATTTTCTTATTAGTTTACTACTTTTATAAAATATATGTGCTCTTTAGTTTGCACTTTCCCAACCTTTATCCTCGCATAATAGTACGACGAGAGGTCGTAGTCGATTATCTTTTTAAAATATTAGAACGATTTTCATTAATTAAGTTTCTAAATTGGTAACATACTTTTCGTTTATACTAATGTTTAGAATTGCAGGTGTATAAACGACTCTACAGCTTTAAATGTCACTTTTACCGTAACAAAAGTTTCTCTATCAATTAGTAATTTGGTGTTGGAGTATCTTTTATCCGAAACAACTTTTTAGATAGGCTCTCATTTCGGAGCTAGAACGAAAAAACCTCGGAGACTTCAACGTTAGATCAAGCGACGAACCTGAATTGTAATTATTTCTTTTCAAATTATTCGAACTGCAACCCAAGTAAATGGTTTAGTCGTTGTAAAATATTCTGTCAGCCACATATTTTAAAGTAAATACAAGCATTTTGGTGGATAGTACTAATTTTATTTTGTTGTATAAGATAAATTTGTTTGCTTATTTATAATTAGAAATTCCTAATTCAACAATGATTTCATGTTTTCATAAACATAAAGAGATATGCAGATTTTCATTTAGTTATTTCACAACGAGTCAATACCTTTATGAAAGGTGTCTAGGTGTAGTCTTGAAATAACAAGCATTTAAGTAACCTTATATCATTAAAGAGCTATTCTGAGGTACCAAAAATTACTTCATAGGCTAGGTTTTTAATGGTAAAGTAACTTTTGTCTAAAAAAAATTTGAGATGAACTCTATTTTCGAAGTTATAGTAAGAAAAGCCGAGAGACTTCAACGTTAGATCAAGCGACGAACTCGAATTTTAATTATTTCTTCCACAGAGCGTTAAAGCGCTCCTTCGTCTATTTGATGTTTAATTTTAAATCCGCCTTTAAATTCAGATACAGCACATCTTAATGCATGGAATACCTTGATTGGATTGCCAAAATAAATTTTGTAACAACGTCAAAAATGCCCGCGAAAATTTAAATTTTGTTGGATATCATAAAACCAGACGTACGTTACTAAACGTCGCCCTAGCTCGTTTATTTAACGTTTAATTTCAAATTTCTTTTGAAAGTCAGAAAGAGCATACCTTGCTCCATAGAAAGCGCTAGTTGAATTTTAAAAATTAAGCTTGTAATAGCATCAAACATGCTCGCGAATATTTATATTTTCTTCGATATGATAAAGATCCACGAAACTTTACGACGCCATATCTGGTCTATAGTTCAATTTTGAATCCGTTGTAAATTTCGGAAAAAATCTGATGTGATTTATGGAACGCATTGGTGAATTTCAAAAACACACGTCACTTTGCGACGCTCTCTCTCATCTATTTAAGGTTAATTTTTAATACCTTTTAAATATCAGAAACACCATATCATGATGCATGGAACACTTGATTGAATTTTAAAAATAAATTATGAAACAGCGTCCAAAATGCCCGCGAAAATTTGAATTTTCTTCGATATGATGAAAACATTTACTTCACTCTGCGACGCCCTTGCTCGTCTATTGAAGGTTTAATTAGAAATCTATTTTGAAACATACTGAATATTATATTGTTTCATAGAATGCCTTAATTGAATTTCCATGGTAAAGTTTGCAACAGTGGCAGAAATGGCCTTAAATATTTAAAGTTCCTTCGGTTTCCTAACAACATGTGCAATTTGCGACCCGGTAGCTGGTGTATTTAATGTGTAATTTCAAATCCGTTCAATATATAAAAAAGAAGACTGCGGCATGAAAATAATAAAATAAGCAAAAGAACTGACCCCAGTAACTGCAGGTTTTAAATTGTTAAGGTTATTGTGGTAAGTCCTTTTGGTTATTTTATTCAAATCCGTTTTAAAAGTCAGAAAGAGCATACATTGGTGCATGGAAAACCTTAGTTGAATTTCCAAAATAAAGTTTGTAACAGTATGATGAATGACATGAAATATTTGNTGTAACAACGTCAAAAATGCCCGCGAAAATTTAAATTTTGTTGGATATCATAAAACCAGACGTACGTTACTAAACGTCGCCCTAGCTCGTTTATTTAACGTTTAATTTCAAATTTCTTTTGAAAGTCAGAAAGAGCATACCTTGCTCCATAGAAAGCGCTAGTTGAATTTTAAAAATTAAGCTTGTAATAGCATCAAACATGCTCGCGAATATTTATATTTTCTTCGATATGATAAAGATCCACGAAACTTTACGACGCCATATCTGGTCTATAGTTCAATTTTGAATCCGTTGTAAATTTCGGAAAAAATCTGATGTGATTTATGGAACGCATTGGTGAATTTCAAAAACACACGTCACTTTGCGACGCTCTCTCTCATCTATTTAAGGTTAATTTTTAATACCTTTTAAATATCAGAAACACCATATCATGATGCATGGAACACTTGATTGAATTTTAAAAATAAATTATGAAACAGCGTCCAAAATGCCCGCGAAAATTTGAATTTTCTTCGATATGATGAAAACATTTACTTCACTCTGCGACGCCCTTGCTCGTCTATTGAAGGTTTAATTAGAAATCTATTTTGAAACATACTGAATATTATATTGTTTCATAGAATGCCTTAATTGAATTTCCATGGTAAAGTTTGCAACAGTGGCAGAAATGGCCTTAAATATTTAAAGTTCCTTCGGTTTCCTAACAACATGTGCAATTTGCGACCCGGTAGCTGGTGTATTTAATGTGTAATTTCAAATCCGTTCAATATATAAAAAAGAAGACTGCGGCATGAAAATAATAAAATAAGCAAAAGAACTGACCCCAGTAACTGCAGGTTTTAAATTGTTAAGGTTATTGTGGTAAGTCCTTTTGGTTATTTTATTCAAATCCGTTTTAAAAGTCAGAAAGAGCATACATTGGTGCATGGAAAACCTTAGTTGAATTTCCAAAATAAAGTTTGTAACAGTATGATGAATGACATGAAATATTTGAAACTTGAAATAGATGTCACTTTGCGACGCTACAGACCAACACTATGAAAATTAATTTACAACCCTATTCAAAAGTTAAAAAGAAAATATTTCAAATAGTAGAGGACTTACCATTTCTTCAGGCGAATTATCCTTTGCTTGATCCATTTCAAACTGGGTTGTCCTTCAAGAGAACAGTGCGACAGGCTGAAACAATATTGAAATCACTAGTAGAAAAAGAATATAAATCTTTTTTACGAAATAAACTGTTACTGTGTTACATTAATTTTTTTTAATAACTCTATTAATATTTCCTTCTTATAAGTAGTTTTAATAAATAAATGGTGCCTAGGACAATCCCTATAATCTCTCTTACAACAACTTAATGGGAATTTAGTTCTATTTATAATCACGACTTTTAATGCACTGTGTCGGGCCATACAGAACTAAGTACAGAAAATATCATAGGGTACCTTTTATCCAGAAAAAAAATACAGTTCCCGGGGGATAGAAAAATTAGGTTTATGTGGTCAATTTCACACCTTCACTACTCAACCTTGTTCATACATTGCCAGAGGCACATAAAAGAACAAAAAATACTGTTTCCGGGGGATAGGGAAAATAAGGGGTAAAATATAGATGCTTAAAAATATTATATGTGTCATTTAAGACGACGTGTCCTTCAATAAATGTATATTACTAAATGTAAAAATGCTATAAAAAATAAATATTCTGGTGTCGCTGAGAGAGACTGTCAAAAAAACTGTTTAGCGTCTCTGAACGAGACTCGAATTTCTCAATAAGTGGTGTCTCGATAGACATGGTTAAAATTTTCTAAGTTCAACATATTTCAGAGATCCCAGTCTTTCTACTAGAGACTCCAGTCTCTCAATTTTCCAGTTTTATTCATTCAGTCTCTCTGCGAGAGACTCGAATCTCTGAATTAACAATTTTATCGTTCGAGTCTCTCATACAGAGACTGTGNTAGTATTACATGGTAATTATTACGTTTTCAGGAATACGCTGAATCAACAATGAACGAATTACTTGGATGGTACGGTTATGAAAATAGACGAAAAGGAAAACCAAAAATGATCCCATATTGTTCGCAAAATGGTAGCACCAGTTCCGGTCCAGACTCTCCAAAATATTCCGGTAAAAAGAGCTCTTTACATTTAACATTTTTTAGTACATGTAGTTCATATAGGGATAGGGTAATTTTTAGATAAAAGTTCATCCAAATAATGGATATCTGTACTAAATTTTTTCAGATAATAATAAATGATTTTAAAAAAATTTAGGTAAACCGAAAGAGAATGTAAACACTAACTAATTTTCATGCTTTTTAAATGTTTAACGATTAAAGTTCAATTCACATAGAAAAACAACGTCAAGTTACAAAATATTTATTGACCACCGCTTGATGAAGGCACAGTGTGGTCAATTGCGATTCTGTAACTCAAACGTTGTGTTTCGAAGTGTTAATTTGGAGTTAACTTAATTAAAAGCTGAATCAAATGAATATTTTATAGTTAAGCATAGTAAGCTTTGCATTTATTGAATAAATGTTTTATATTCTTTTGAATATTTAATTACTAAAGCTCAATTATTTGAAGATTAACTGTACATGTACTAACAATGATTGTAACTCAAAGTTGTAAACGGCGCATTGCCTACTGCGATGCGCGCATGCTAATTTTAAATCGGTCTGGCGGGAACATATTTCACTTTGCTAGAGTACAAAAATACTTGCATGTTGTGACAGTGCCCTGTGTGGTGCGAAGCGCTAAAGTTCATTTGTTTCTAATTGTTATTTTGTGTCTGGTTGCTATTCGTTAGCATCAGCAACGAATTATAAATACACACATCAATACATACACACACGAACTACTCTTTTGTTTTTGTGTCTGAATGTTGTGATAGACATATTGGAATTGCGCGATCCGATACTTCGGAAATAAATGGATATTAATAGTGATCGAAACCGATTGACCGACAAATATGAGATTAAAGTGGAAAATAGTGATGAAGATATTAATGTATGTCACACTTTTTTCTGTTTTGCTACTGTTTGCATTCATAAAATACGCAGTTGTATAGCACCTATCTAACTACTATAGAAATATTTTAACCCGAATCAAAACAAGTCAAAAAAATACTTAAAGGATTTCTGTTTGTCTATTAACATTTACAAAGTACGATTTTAATATTAACTATTAACTGACTTTTTGTTGTTTTTGATAATTACTATAAACAATTTTTTGTATAAATTCCATAAATTGTTACAAATGCTTATTAATAATCAAATAATTGAATTGATTATTAATATTCATTTTTGTTTTGTTCGACACATTTTGACCAAAAATTTGACACCGGCGTGTTTTTTTGGCATAGAATTAACACAGGAAGAATTGTTATTACATAAGAGGAACATTGTTTTTTAATTCTGAAAGCATTAAAGGAATATAGTACTAGAGCAAAAGTTTAAAAAAAAAAATAGAAAAAAAGTCAAAGTGGAATGATATTTCTTCTTATTCGGAGTAATATAGCTCGGGTTTAATTCGGTACAACGAGTAACATGAATCGGCAATTTGATCCCCGGTGTCGGATCGCAGATGGCTGGTAACAAGACACCTACCTATCCCTATCAAGCATCAGCTAGCTTCGTTCCTAACGTCGTCGTCACTATATAATACATACATATAGGTACATTTATATTACATGTACACATTATACAGATATAACGCACTGTTGTAAATCCTTAAAACAGTCTTTATACTGGGTGGACAAACCTTGACACAAAGTCGATCGTAAAAAAAAATTATAATTATAAAATGTAGTAATGAGTAAAAAAAGACTGTGTTTATATTAGTCAGACCAAGACCGAATGAACAAGACAAATCCTTTTTATTTTATTCAAATCCGTTTTAAAAGTCAGAAAGAGCATACATTGGTGCATGGAAAACCTTAGTTGAATTTCCAAAATAAAGTTTGTAACAGTATGATGAATGACATGAAATATTTGAAACTTGAAATAGATGTCACTTTGCGACGCTACAGACCAACACTATGAAAATTAATTTACAACCCTATTCAAAAGTTAAAAAGAAAATATTTCAAATAGTAGAGGACTTACCATTTCTTCAGGCGAATTATCCTTTGCTTGATCCATTTCAAACTGGGTTGTCCTTCAAGAGAACAGTGCGACAGGCTGAAANCAGATTTTAATATTAAATACAGAAAAAAAAAGAAACTTGTTCTGTTTTGTTCGCTAAAAAGTAATTTTTGCGTTAGAGATATAAAGCAGAGGATAGCGCAGCCTTCAATAAAAAGAAGTCACTTCTATGCTCGCGAACGGATAATTTAGAAATACGAAAACGATTGTTTAGTGTAGAAGGTAATAAATTAAGAGATATAAGATAGAATAGGAGAACAGAGGACTCTGTTGAAGTCAATAGATCAGATTAAATGAGCATGACCAAGATTTAATACCCACGACCAAGACAATATCAGAACGACCAAAACTAGAAATATTTGAAAAAGACCATGATCAAGACCGAATAAGTCTTAAAAGGTTCTACTTTGCAACTAATTTGTAAGAAATATAATTTTGTCTTTTTAGCTTCATATAGGTAGTCAGCGGGTAACAAATTGTTAAATTGATTATTACTAATATTTTAAGCAACAGTCAATACTTTTCGGTTGACCAAATAAGGATTTAAAGAAAGTAGCCAATTGCAATTCTTTTTCGTACCCTAAAATTTTAATCTAATTTGACATTTTTTGCTTCAATAGGTAAATTAATTTTTTCAATATTTGGATGGTCTTGTTTTTTTTTTTTTTTTAATAAAGTTTGAAACGTCTACGTCTAGATTAGAAATTAGTATTTATTTTTTCTTGAATTTTAACGTACATTTAATTCCACCCTGTATAAGTATATATATCTGTTTTACAGTACAATGATTCCTTAGTTTCTCTGTTGGTATACATACGTTGGTATGTGTGTGTATGGTTGTAAAAAATACATGAGCTGTGGTTAAAATCATAAAGCGAATTGCGTTCTTGTAAGTGAAACCGCTTTTCCAGCTATTAAGTCGTATACGGTATTGTTCGGATGCTAAATATACAGTGGGTTTGTAAAACGACGAAATGGCACTAATAATAATAATTATGTGTTACTCGGAAAGTCGCACTAATGTTAAGTAACACAAACATAAACAACGAATATTGGGATCTGTCAAATGGAAGGAATAGAACAATATGGCACCGATAAGGGAAAACCATTCATGGTCTCTACATGGTAACGTGCAATAATGAGGAATAGCACAATATATGGGTAGAAACTCTTGAAAAATGGATTTTGTTAATACAGGTCACAAACCGTTAATCTCACAAAAGTTTTGATTACACACATTAGTAAAATATATACTTAATGATTTGATTTTCTTTTCTCTTTTTTTTTCCAATTTAAGCAGTTTTAAATTTCATCATTAAAAATCGTACCGTTGCCATTTTCGCTACTTTGTAATTATTTCCACTACGTCATCACAAGAAACGCATTAATTTATAATATGTTGGAAAACCTTCATCTTTAAAACACACATCTACACGGTACGCCGGACTCTACAGCGATACAAAATTTAATATGGCGACCGGCCGCCATATTTTTTTAAAACGTAGGAGTATTACAAAAAGAAGAAACTCACCGAACTTAACATTACATACATTGAAAAAGTTTTCGAAAATATTTGATAGCTACATAATGTGCATGGAAATAAAAATGTAATTTTTCTGATACAATTGTGGCAGAGATGATTTGTAATTTCTAATAATGGAGGATTGTATGATGTATATATACATATAAGAATCTATACTTTTTTTTAATGGGTGTTCTTTCCGTCGTTGAATCGATTTCTGGGTGTAAGTGGAAGGTATCGTGTATACAAAGTATTATGTTTTACGGATACAATATCAGTGAGGCTCGCATTGCCAGAAAACCGTTGCTCATTTCGCATTATCCTGAATTTTAATTATAAATGTTATTAATAGCGCAGCACAGAGCTGATATTTGAGACTAGTCTAACTGCGGTGGATGGAGCATGGAACTATACTGGGTGATTTATAAAGAGCGAACACTGGACAAATGCACCACATTCTATACGTCAAAATTATGTGATTTCATGAAAAAAATATTGATTGTTAAATAAGTGTAGGGTGTTGAGCCAGACACACTAAATTTTCTTTAATTAGTAGATTCGTTTGTAAAATAGATAACAAAACTCTCTATAATGAAAGAAAGTACTTCTACAGACTTTAAATTCAGAATTTACTGAAGGTGAGAATTAAGAATCTTTAGTAGGTAATAGTTTTAGTAAGTTCTAGAAGGACCGATTAACATAAACAAATAAGTGAACAAGCCTAGTTGTTTAAATAAAGTAGTGTTAGGGTAATTCCGAGTGAGTTGGGACATTTTACTTCAAGTTACTATAACTTCAGAAATAATGATAACACACTAAAAAATATATTCTTCATTTAAACAGTAACATGAATAAAACTGTTATATCAATATATCATAAAAATAAACGTATTCTTGAAAAAATAGATATGGTTCACTAAAAAAGCCTGACATTTAATGATTTTTCCGACATAAACCCCTTCCGCATATGTCATAAAAACTGACATACTTTGAACAGTTCTACATGAAACCATCGCATTGGAGGCACTGCACTCACCCTGCTTTCACACAGACGGTTTTTTGCCGTGGCCGTGCACGGCAACCGTGCCGTGTATAATAGTAATACATTGGTTTATATGCAAGCTTTCACACAGCACGGTTTGTTGCCGTAGCCGTGCACGGCTGCGTCGCAGCAGGGCATGAGGACTGCAACGGCACGGCGCCGTAGCCGTGCACGGCAACAGTGAGACAAGCAAGTGTATAGAAGTATTCACACGTGCCGTGTGTTCACACGGCAAAAATTGTTTTCAGGATCGTTTTTCTCTCTGAATTGTGCAGTTAACAGAAGAAATTATATAGTGTGGCGGATAATAACACCGCTATATTTAATTTAAAACATATATTTGACTAAACATTATATTACACCCTTTTGTAAATATTTCTACTCGAATTCTTTTGTATCTGTCTTTCTATTATTATTATTATTCTCTGTGAAAATATTTGGAACAGTGTCTTTATCAAGGTAAAAATCTTACTCCAAGCATCGGTAGAGATTATATAATTAAGAAAAATTTACCTCCTTTCTTAATAATATATCATTGGGGAAGATAATACAAAGGATATATTGAATATGAGCATTTAAATTTTCTCGGATATTTTTGAAGAAACAAGGTTTTGTACAGATATATATTACAATCTTCTTTTATCTCTTATAAGCTAGACAGTGAAAACTTTAATAATTTGATTTCTTTTGGTATCAAAGCGTTACATAACAGAAAGGAAAACCTTTTTCTATTTCTGATAGATTGTTTTCTGATTGATACTCAATTTTTTTTTATTTCCCTCTTGATATTAAATAAAGCGTAATCATTGTCAATTAATTTTGATGACTATTACTAATTTTTAAATCATCTTGCAATTTTACGCATAATTCATCGAAACTCCTAATGGACATTCGAAAATAATTAAAAAATTTGGAGCTATCCTCTCGTAGCTCATGAAATAATGTTACAAGTTCACCCATCAATTGTCTGTTTTCAAGTAGTGGATGAATCCAAAATCTTCTTGTTTTTTGTGTTTTTCTGCGATTATGCCATATCATTAGTAACAACATGCGTTTTTTTCTTTCGTCCATTTTGGTCATGTATCAAAACAAAACTAAACCGTGAAAAACCGTGTGCAGTGTGAACGCAAAGCAAAATGAAATTACGGCACGGCACGGCACGGTTGCCGTTAGAAAACCGTCTGTGTGAAAGCAGGGTAAGTCATCTTCAGAAAGGCTATCACTAGATTCCTGTAGAGTCCTAAATTATCGTCATCCGTTATTGACTCATTTGCAACCGCTTTCTTCACTACCTTTCTCATTTTCTTCTTTGGTTTAATCTTCGTCATTCGGTTCATAACCATCTGTCTTGCTTTCGCATGTTTTGATTCTCTAGCACCTTTTCGTTTATCATTGTATTCCGATGATGTTCAAACGCTTCCTAGCCTTTTCAATACCTGTGGAAGATGTGCCTGGTACGGCATTAAATTTGTCTAACATGGTTCCTGGGGTACCATTTTCTTGAATTGCTTTTTGAACTTTACCCGTATCTACCTGAACCTAGCATGCTAGTTGCTGAATAACTATCTCTTCCTACACGGATGATAAAGTAGCATACTTTTGTATTCTACGAGACATGGTACACAAACTATATCTCCCGAAAAGTTACTGTACCATCTTTCCCAATTTTACAGGCTAGTCGTCATATGTAATTTTCGCTAAATACCTTATTATAACTTCAACAATTCCTACAACAACTTTAATCTTAAAACACCCACAAAAATATGAAATACTTCAACTTGTTTACATGGCTCAATTTATTTTTAGGTCCTCTCAAACCTATTTTTGTGCATAACTTACCCTTTATACGCTTTAACGCCAAAATCTTTAGCCTATGATGTAACACATGTGAACTACTGCTGTTGACTAACAGCTCAACTATTGTCCTGAAAATTGAAATGTTCCAACTCACCCGGTGCACGATCTCTTCCAAAATTACCCTAACCGTACACCGGCTAAATTAAGGCCGTAGATTAGCATCAATTAGTACCAATTTTTTTCTTATATGTGTATAGAATCTACAGTTTTACACTGTTTCATTCCTGCTAAACCACCCTGTAGATATAAGCAGGCAGGGAAATGGATCAGGGTGTCTGCCATACGATATCAGTTATTAAGTATCGGGTGTATATATTGGATATCTTTTATGAGCATTCATATGTATATGGACTTACAATACATAAATGTATATATATATATATATAGGGTAAATGGGCTTTGTACATGACAAACGCGAGGAGTTACTAATAACAGAAACTGTTTTTCGAATTGTGTCAAAATATTTAACTCTATAGCAAATATGTTCCAAAATGCACTTTTAAGAAAATTTCTAAGAGCAAATAACCTTTAAACAACATGAATTCATTTGGCACAAAACATAAACTATGTTACAGACTAGATAAAAATCCATTTTTCGGTAAGCTAGTTTCAAATTCTTTATGTCTAGGAAAATTTCCTTAGGTCTAGAAACGCTGGTTAAAATTCGGATGTGTTGTCCACTATTGGTCAAAAATCGAACGCGTTAGTGGACATCATTCTCCCTATTACTTACATCTTGCAAAGATTATTATATTTTTTCGTGAATGTATCAATAAGAGTCATTTTAAAAGGCGTATGAAGCTAATCTGTTGGTAAAAACGACAGTCCTAAATTTGCAATTTCGAAATATTGCGACCAGATAGCATCTTCGGAATGCACATTTTAGATGTTTGTCACGCTTTTTCCAAAATACTTGACCATTAATTACAATTAATATTTGTGGATTAGCGTAAGAAACTTCATTCCTATCAGATATTCCAGTACACCATACAGCTTGTTATTTTTTGCTTGAAGTTACTAATTAGTATTACATGGTAATTATTACGTTTTCAGGAATACGCTGAATCAACAATGAACGAATTACTTGGATGGTACGGTTATGAAAATAGACGAAAAGGAAAACCAAAAATGATCCCATATTGTTCGCAAAATGGTAGCACCAGTTCCGGTCCAGACTCTCCAAAATATTCCGGTAAAAAGAGCTCTTTACATTTAACATTTTTTAGTACATGTAGTTCATATAGGGATAGGGTAATTTTTAGATAAAAGTTCATCCAAATAATGGATATCTGTACTAAATTTTTTCAGATAATAATAAATGATTTTAAAAAAATTTAGGTAAACCGAAAGAGAATGTAAACACTAACTAATTTTCATGCTTTTTAAATGTTTAACGATTAAAGTTCAATTCACATAGAAAAACAACGTCAAGTTACAAAATATTTATTGACCACCGCTTGATGAAGGCACAGTGTGGTCAATTGCGATTCTGTAACTCAAACGTTGTGTTTCGAAGTGTTAATTTGGAGTTAACTTAATTAAAAGCTGAATCAAATGAAACTGACGGTTGTTTCGCTAAAATTTGACTTCTTCAGTACGAGGACAGAATGTTTCTGCTTCCAACAATAATAAACACAATTAATCGGTAGTGAGTTGGCATAATATTGTACGAAAGGTTTCAAATTGTGTTTAATGTGTCTGTCATTCAGTATGTGAATATTGGATTGCTGTTAAACGATGCAGGTTAGCTTTTTGCGTATATTTTGGCGTAGTACGTGAGAGTAAAATATGGAATTGAAGACAAGGCGTCTACAGATTTTTTTTTCTTGGACACCGTTTTGGCCTGTAAGATGATACGAATGTTATTTTTGGAACGCGTGTAATATTAGACAATGCGTGCGCAAGTCGATAGTTTGATCTAATTGTAATACATCTACACGTATACGTATTTTCCAAGATTTTCGGACTGTGTGTCGCAGTTGGAGGATTGGTTGACCGATGAATGATTTAAAAGAGTATGATAATGCATAATAAACTATTGAAAACAAAAGCTGAAAGAGTAGTCTGATTCTTAAAGGCTTTATCTACCACTAAGAATGAAACGTTATCTTCATAACAAAAGGTTGTAAAGACATTTAGTCTATTTGGATATTGTAAAGTGAAATTGCAATTGATGTTAAGGTACTCCGGTCGAGATGTGAAAAGTAAAATCAAAACGAAATAAAACTTATGTAGTAATTAACGAAATTTGAAGGTGTATATTTGGAGTGCAGCGCTGTAGGGGTGCAAAGAGGTATTAGAATGAATAGGAGAACATCCTGGAAGTCAATAAGAAATAAGCCAGATAAAGAGGTAGGACACCTTCTCAGGAACGAAGGACTAGTTAGAGACATATTAGAAGCGGAAACAGCAATTAAGAGGAGTAGAGTTAGACTTAGATTGGATTAGAGTTCATAAATAGTTAAGGATGTGGGATGTTGCAGTTTTAGGTAAATGGGAAGGTTAGCTCAGGATAGGAAAGAGTGGTGGTGCGTGTCCGAGCAGTCTTAGGACTGACGACCATAATGATGTCAATGAAAACGCTTTAACTTTCACTGTAAATGAAATTTCGAGCCGACTACTTTAAAAAAGTATCTACATAACAATAAATAAATATTTCAAACAAAATTTGCGAATGTCACAAACTTTTTTTAATTAAAATGCCTGTTTCTGTCTGTTATTTTTAATGAAAGTATCAATTAATTTTTTAATCTGTTGTAGGAAGTTGCGACTGGTGTAGTCATGTGGTTGACGATAATAAAGCTATTTCGTCAGCGGGTGCTGTGTTTTGCTCCGAACTTTGTTTTTCGCAATCGAGAAGGGCGAATTTTAAAAAGAATAAGACCTGCGATTGGTGCAGGCATGTCAGACATACCATATCGTATGTCGACTTTCAGGTAATCGAACACATTAAATAAACATCACATTTCGCACGTTTCTAATGTAATGAAAATTTATGTTTCATTTTAATTAAATGAATTTTCGACATGAAGTCAACGATTTGAAATAATTGCAGCTACTAGTAAAAGAATTGCGCGATTTTAGATTTAAAAATCGATATTGTATCAATCACTGTCTTCTAATTCACAGGTCTGCGATAAAAAAGTTTTTTGTATAAATTTATCTTAAGCATATAAATGTTGGTCTATATTTTGCAAATATAAACTTTGTTTTAACGTATCACGTCACATTTTTTTTATAGATAGTCTGAAGGTAACTATCGTCGTTTACACCGCCTGAAAAAAAAAATAGTTTATAGCGCGCCACTATTGAGAGATATAATATTAACGTGTAATAAAAGATTAACTATAGCTTCTCGAAGTTGTAAAAACAATTCAAATGTATTTTTTTACATTTGCGGACAATATACAATAGTTGTGTCACCAAGATAAACACTGGGTTACGATAAATATGCCGGTTATGTGTTACAGTGGACTTATGGTAAATCAAAATCATAATTATTCGGTATTTTTATGTCCAAATTAGAATGCAATTGGAAGTCGGAGCGAAAAATGTCATCAATACAAGTTTGAAAGAAGAAAGTATTGCTTCCACCACTTTACATTAAACTTGGTTTGATCAAACAGTTTGTAAAGGCATTTCAGCTTGACCAACGGTGATTATTTCATGTTTATATACCTAGGTTATGATCTATATAGGTTTTAAGCATATAAAAAAATCGTAAGGACACAAAAAATTACTTTTTAAGAGTAAGAAAAAAGTCAATTCAAAAATCACGTTTTTTTTTACCTATTTTCGATCTTTCCATGCTTTAATATTGTCGAAGGTATTTTTAACCAACACCATCGAAAAGAGCATCGTTAAAAACATAGAAACACTAGTTATCGAATACTTTTTCGTCACACAAATAACGTGGCAAGGGTTAAAATGGTTCTCTGAGCATTTATGGATTAATCTGACGTGGTATATACCATATAATTATCGTTTTCTATTACTTATAAGACAATTGCGACAAATATTAACAATTTAAGAAAAAAAACTATTCAAAACGAAATTTCGCAGACCTGTGTTATGAATATTAAAAAATAAAACTAATTTAAATTTTGTTCTTCAGCAGCACTTTCAGGGAATTAGAAATAAATAAAATTATACATCAACCGAAATGTATTCGAAAGTTATTCAGTAACGGTTGTGTTTTTTCAGGATGGTGCCTCTCAGCTTCAATTTTGCTCCGACAAATGTCTCAACCAATACAAAATGCATATATTCTGTCGAGAAACGAAGGCACACTTAAAAATGCACCCTCACGTTCCAGAAAATGCGAAGTCTTCAGGAGTTCTCATTACGCCAGATTTATGGCTGAGAGACAGCAGGCAAGACGACGCCCTATCTGCATCTCCGCCGCCGTGGATCACAAAGGACGACGTTCAAACATCCCCCCTCCCACTGATCTCATTAGTTCATCCTTCGAAATTGATAGAGCAAAAAACGGAAAACGGTACTTTTCATAGTAGTAGTAAGAGACAGAAGAGTGCCACTACGCAGAAAAAGAAAAGGAAACGTACACTTCCAGATAATTCCTGTACTACATCACCAGACAGTAAAAGTTTATGGAACGACTGTCCCCAAGATCTCAGAATCAAGCAACCATATATACACAAAAGCACCAACAATTTGGAAGAAACCCAACCACCTCATCAATCTACTAATTCTAAACTGTTTTATGACAAAATTTCCGAAACCTTCGACAATAAGTCACAAACATCGATCATCCCAAGGAGTACTACACTTCCTCCGGTAACAGTTTTGGTCCCTTATCCCATTTTCGTCCCAGTTCCTTTGCCTATTCCCATACCTTTTGACAGCAAGTTGCTGATCCCAAATAAAGAACCTCCAAAAAACAATAACTACGATAAAGAATTACCAAAAACTGACGGCAAAACAATCATCGATGATAACGACAAGTTATTAAATTTGAGTAGTTGTAATAATTATAATAATAAATCTCCCGATAAAAAAGATTTATTGGAAGACGGATGTGAGCAAACTATTATTCGAAATTTGAATGTAGAAGAATTGTTAGAAGAAAAAAATGGTTTCAGTAGTCCCGCAACTGCCAAAGAATGTCCCCAAAAGCCACAGAACTTAAGACTGAGATCTCTAAAGAAAAGGAAAAAGATTTTGGAAGTAAAACGGAAAAGTTTGCAACTGAGAGCCAAAAGGACAACTGTCTCCACCTAATTATTTCTCTTAATGTGTATAATAATAATAAGCGATTAATTTATTGGAAACTTCAAGCACAAACTGTAATCTAATAAAAAATATAAAGTCCTACGTTTTATTATTCTGATTTTAGTGGCAAAAACTGCTTTCATAAAAGCTGTTTCCTTCTATGTCTTAAGCTTATGTAACCCTTTCCAAAAACATATTAAAATTAGGATTCAGTCAATTTTTGAAATAACAAACTTATAATTTTGCTAACTATCTCAACTAAATTATCTATAGAGTACTTGGAAGTCAATAAGGAATAGGTACGATAGGTAAGTCTCAGGCATGAAGGTCTAGTCAGAGAGATATTAGAGGCAGAAACGGGAGTTAGGAGCGGTAGATGTCGATAATTCTAGTTTTAGTGAAATGCGAAGATTAGCTCGAGATAGGAAAGAGTGGAGGTGCGTGCCCAACCAGCCTTGGGGCTGACGACCTTATGATGATGAGGGTAAATCCCCTTACTACAAGTAGAATAATGAAATTTGACGTAATTGAAGTAAACTACCAGAAAATATAAAAATCATTCATTTACAACATTATAAGGGTAGCACTTGCTACAGTTTTCGAAAATAGCTATTTAAATATTTTACAGAAATCTAACAAATTGTTTCCTATATCACTAGATACTGCAAATTGCGATCATCTACGACCAAAGGGTAATTTTCAGATTAACAATTCAGATGTTTACCTGCTTTAGACTCGTATAAATCGTTGGAATGATACATTAGCTTTAGTTCAACATAGTTTTCAAACAGAAATGGATGATCCATATGTAAATTGTACTAATTCTACAGCCACGTTATGGTTATATGATTTAGACATAGAAGATGTTAGTTGGATCATAACTAGTTCGTTCATGATATTTACTATGCAAACAGGCAGGTACATTTGTATCATTATAATATAATAAAAATAAACTGTTTGAGTATCTCAAAAAAATAAGAAAATTCGTAATTATGGAATATCAAAGAAATAATCAAGATAAATTACTGTTGTTTTTAAGGATTTGGAATGCTGGAATCAGGGTGTGTGTCAACCAAAAACGAAGTTAATATAATGATGAAAAATGTGGTAGACATCGTTTTGGGAGGTACAAATCTGTTAATTGCTAACACCACATTTAGTAATACCTTAATTATTATAAAAAAAAAAAACTGATAAAATAAATTATCAGAAATCGATTTTGGTAAAAATGAATCCCTATTTTCAATCAACCAACGTTTCGCCCTTCGGTTCAGGCTTCCTCAATGTTTGCATACTAATAATTGTAATAATTGGCATCATGCTAGAATTATTATTTTGCTAACATTTTTAGAATTGTATTAGATGTAATGGAAAGTAGAAATTTCATAAAGGATTGAATTGTAACAGTAATACCAATAGTCGAATTAAATTCAATGTGTGATACATCAATGAAATCATATCTTTTTACCGTATTTACTGGCATAAAAATCCAATATGGTGTTCATAAGAAAATCAAAAGTGAACATTGGAAAAATAAGATTTTGAGTAGACCTGAAAACTTTTTGATAATTTAATTAGAATGCCCAATGTCGATAATGTAAATATAAAAAGTTTTATAATTTCTAATTTAATCCATGCTGTATCTCTTACGTGTTCGTATATCCCAATGATATGCACTGTAACAGTGGCCACCCTGTATAATTTTCACTTACTACATAATATGTCCAGTGAAATTTTTAAAATAATTAAAAATTTGCAAGTAAAATAAATAAATGATTCTAGCATGATATAATTATCATAATTATGAATACGCAGACCTTGAGAAAGTCCTAATCCGATGAGCGAAACGTTGATTAAAAACTGATTTTTATCTGAATCTGAAATTATGTCGCTGATATGCATTAGGGAGAAATAAAGATATTAATTAAGAGATTAGTAATAACGAACAAATAGTGTTAATTTGGTACTTATATTATTGCGTTCTAGCGTTAGATTGATTTTTTTTTAATTTTTAAGGATTTACGTACTGGGTTTTTGGCTATGCTTTTTCATTTGGAAGAAGCGACTATAACACTCCATTTATGGCGTTCGGAGACTTTTTTATAGACCCTTTAATTACCGATCCATTAAAAGGATCAATCTATACCGCTTTTTTGTTTCAAATGTCTTTTGCAACTACTGCCACAACCATTGTTAGCGGAGCGATGGCCGAAAGGTTGTATTTTTTATGATAGTCATTCGTTCAATAATCAGTAACATCTAATCTCTGAATAATAATAATTGTGGCGAAAGAACTCTTTTTTTTGTGTAAATATTTTGTAAATACCTATAATTGTTTAAATAGTATTTCGTTGTTATTTTAATTAATAATTATTCAAGAGATACTAAATAATTAATCCTATAACACTATTTATTGATTTCGACGCAATTGCACCGATTATTACCGTATTCAACATTAGCATCATGTCTTGATAAAACGAAATACATTTTTTCAATTACATTTAAGGTGCAATTTCAAGGCCTACTGTTTGTACAGTTTTTTGAACACGATCGTTTACTGCATTCCTGCAGGATGGGTTTGGGGCGATCACGGGTTTCTAAAAAGAATGGGGGCAGTAGATATTGCTGGATCGGGACCTGTCCACTTAGTCGGTAAATGAATTATAATGATATTATAATAAAAAGTACCTATTTCAAAATTTAATTAGAAAACAAAAGAATAATTATTGTTTCAAATTAAAATTACGTGATATGAATTGCTCGTTGTAGGCGGATTTTCAGCATACGCGAGCGCTTTGATGTTAGGGCCAAGAACAAATCGCTATACCAGTGGAAATAGCCCATTACCCATGGGAACCCCCGTCAACGCTGTTTTAGGGTTGTTCGTACTTTGGTGGGGTTGGCTTGCGTTTAATTCAGGGAGCACGTACGGGGTAAGAGAAGTATCGAAACAATCATCTACTTAATTAAGTTACAATTAGTCAATTAATTTTGTATGAAATTAAGGGCATTATTTACAGTTCACTGGTGAAAAATATAGTTACGCAGCAAGGGCGGCAGTGATGACGATAATGGCATCGTTTGGGGGCGGCTGTACGAGCCTAATTTACTCTATAATACGATTAAAAGGTAACACCGACCCTCTTGATGTAATAAATGGAATTTTGGGTTCATTAGTTTCTATAACCGCCGGCTGTTTTCTTTATCAAGGTGAATTACAAAAGCATTTGCTTTTTTCCTTAAAATTAAGATATGTGTACAATAAGTTTCTCATAATTAATATTAATTTCATACTAGTTCTTCCCCCTGCCCCCGGCCATTTTTATTGCTCTACTATGACGTAGTGTCGGCCATCATTCTTTTCTAATTGTTGCAGTTGTCGGCCATCATTCTTTTTCAATTGTTGTCGCATTGTTACTGATGTAGGCCATTATGGTTTTTTTAATAGATGTATAGTAATCAATGATTAAAATTTAAAGGAATTGTTTTGTAAATAGGTATGCAACACATTGTACACTTCAGCATAAGAAATTGCTGATACTAACTTTCATTTATGTAATACAACTTTTTTCTGTGCTGACAGCACTCATATATTTTTTTATATACAATATTAAACGTTTGCAAGCACACTTTACTTTAAAGCGACTTCACCCTATCTTATAGTTGAGTTATCTCACTTCCTAGAAATCGAAAATAGGTCTTATTCTTCTAATTTTTATAATAAATCATTTTTTTAAACGTTTTCCACAAACCTTAACAAATCAAGGCCCTACGTACTATATTGATTGTGAGATATTTCCAGCATGGGAAGCACTTTGTATTGGTGCAATTGGAAGCTTATTGGTTTGTTTTTCTATGCCGTTATTTGATAAGGTAAATACATGTTTATAAACTCAAAAGGAATTTGATAAAAATGCACGTTTTCTACAACAGTTTGGAGTAGATGATCCCGTGGGAGCTAGTTCTGTACACGGCGTAGGAGGGATGTGGGGTAGGTATTAGAATAAATTATATACATTGGTTATGTACTTCTTAAACAAAACTATTTAGGCGTGATAGCGGTGGGAATATTTGCTGACAACCCTTATCCTCTCACCACTACAAACGGACGAAGCGGTTTGCTCAAAAGTGACTTTAATACTAATTCAATTTAACACCACATAATAATTTTTTAATCTCTTTATTAGGTGGAAGTTGGCACCTTCTTGGCGTGCAATGTTTGAGCGTTCTTTGCTTAAGTTTGTGGGCGTTTACGACATCTGTCTTTTTATTATGGTTCATCAATCTCATGATAAAAATTCGAATGGATAAAGACGAGGAATTAATTGGAGCTGATTTAACAGAACATGGAATTAAACATACTCAGGTATATCTAGTTGGGTGTGTCGAAAATGCTCTGTTTTGCAGTTTTTTCACTAATATATGTATTGTTTTTAATCACGATAAAAAAAATTGTAAATTTGTGTAAAGAGAAAAAGTTTTGAGTCGACATTTCAAGCTCGCCAAAGTTAGTTAAAGTACAGTGATTAATTTTTTGCCCTTATACAAAATTAAGCCAATATAATAGTTTCTGAGAAAAAAATTGTTATTTTCCTTGATACATATTTGTAGAAAATTAAATTAAATGAAAAATAAAAACATATATAAACACATCAAGAAAAATACAATTTTTACTCAAATTGAATTTAATTAGACGCCTATCTCTCAGAAGCGATTAAATTTACGTAATTTGATGTAGATATTTATTAGTTTACAATGGAAAAATTATAAAGGACTTTTATACAGAATTAAATCATTAATTAAATGCAAGTCCAGCCACCCTTGCTATTTATCCCTTTATATAATATTAAGTATGATAAATTTGGGTTTATATCAGGTCAAATATGTCACAAAAAAATTTAATGAAACTGA